ACTCCTCCCATATAGTGTCATTTAGTATATATATCGTTATATATGATTCATGTGTGGTGTGGTGGTCTGCCGCGCTGTGTGTGTGTGTGTGTGTGTGTGTGTGGCGTGGTGTGTGTGTCTTATGTGGTGTCGCACGCCGTGCAAGCGTGCGTGTGTGTGTGTGTGCTCTGTGGGCTGTGTGTGTGTGTGGTGTGTGGTTCCGGCGCGCACCCCCGCAGGTTCACCCACTCAACATTTCACATCACATCCAACCCAGCCTGGAATCGCCACTTGGCTAACCGGCTTATGCACACTCTGTGCTGTGTGTTGTGCGCGTGCGTGTGTGTACGGCCACGTCATCGTGGCGTTGTTTACGTCCGCCGGTGTGTAGCGCCGCGCCATGTGCGTAGTGATTGTGTGACGTACGTGCGTATGACGTGATGTAGGTCGCCTGTGGTGCTGTGGGTGGTGTGTGTCGCTGTCATGTGTCGTATGTGTGGCAGTACGTGCGTTGTGTACTGCCGTACGTACGTGTGCTGTGTGTGCGCGCGCGTGGTGTAGGGTGTGTTATGCGCCGCCGCATGTCTGTCTGTATCTGCGCTGTGGTTGTCCCGCGAGTCGTTGTGTGACTGCGTGATGTGATATGGCCGCGCGCGACTGTCTGTCTGTCTTGCTGGCTGTGGGCTCGTGTGTCTGGGTTGCCGTCGTGTGCCTGTGTCTGTCAGCTCGCGCTGTTCTGTGTGGTTGTGTGTGGGTGTGTGTGTGTGTTTGTGTTCTTATAACTTGAATGCTTGTATTAGCGCCAGCCAGGTATTCTCACCTACGTCATGTGTGCATGTATATCGATGTAGCATACCAGATTTAAGAGCAGGCAGGGCAAAAGCGAGTACTTTGAATGTAGTGGACCCTATAATATGTCGATACCTTTCCGATAATATCTGCTTTCGCGCACACGTGTATAATCAAATGCCGACCGTCCTGTGCCGTGTGCAACAGTGAATAACTGAAAAACGTGAAATGGGGGAATGGCGTGTACGTGTAAACGCAACCTGTTACTGTATTTTCATGTTCTGAAAAGCAGGTGCGATCATGTCACTAGTGAAGAATAATTAGTAGCATATGTTAGAGACACTTACCTCATCGGTCATAGCGCACTAAAGTGATCTATATCGAGTCACACGGATGTCCTTAGCTTTACCAGCGGTTCATGAACGTTTTCATGAAGGTCTGATTGCAGGTAAATAGAGTATTATGTGCGGAGATGAATGACTGGAAACGTTCGTGCGTAAGCTGCGTCGTGCGTTCTATCGGCGGCACTAACCTACGCGCCTTGGGTCCCCTAGTCTTCTCTGGCTAGGCGTGGCGTAGTCGTCACGCTACACCCCCGGGTAGGTTCCCATCTCGTCACTAGGCAAACGTAGCCCCGATTCAACCTGTTTATTGTGTGTACGGAGCGCGGTGGAGCGGAATACAATGGGTCGGAGCGTGTGGGCGGTTATGCGACAGCAAAATACACGTATAGCGTGGGGGTTACACCGCGGTTCATCATGATCACAGGAGATTCCTGGAAGGTGAGAGGATTTCCCAGATATGCCTGTCCGTATAGTTCATTGATATGCGCCTATATATACCATACGCCATGCCATCTTTCTGTGTCACAAAGAATATACCTGCGACGGACAGAGAGAGGAAGTCAATTACGCCCGGTTGTATTATAAAACTAACGCGTTGCATATGACCAAAATCCGAAAAGTATGGCAAGCGTGCGCAGTCGCACTGAGGTGAAAGAGACCTTCCAGAGGAACCGCGTGCTAAATGAACAGGACTTGGATCGAGTCCAGTAAAACCTGAAAAATAATATGAACGCACATTCTAATATACTACCGTAGGGCTACTCTCAATACAGTTTCACTGTTGTGTTACCGGTATATCAACTTTCTTTATAAAAGACTAACCCGAACGCTCCCGCACTCGCGCCGCCTGCGAGTGAGGCTGTGTCGCCATGATAATGGATAATAATCTATAAAGAATATATTTAGATATTTATATCTTATAATAATATATAAGATATATTTTATATCTATAATATATATAAGATATATCTTATATCTATAAATTACTACTAGATATAATTGATTAAATGATTGAGTGATAAGATAATATGATTATCTATATTATTATCTTATCATGCTGGCACGCACACTCGCCAGCGCGGCGAGGCGGCCGAGCGGCTCGTCCTTAGTTTTATGAAGGAAAGTTGATATACGAGTAACACAACAGCTGGGAACTGCTAATTAGAGGATAGGGCCTACGGTAGTATTTCGTGAATGCGCACCCGGTTCACTCATTATGGTCTTAGCTCTTCTACTGACTCGTGTCCCAAGTGCCGTGTGCGTCGCAATGGCTGTCGGCCTCCCGTGAATACCACGCAAGCATCCCCGTGTCGCAAGCACGAGCGAATACTGTGATGTCGAGGTGTGCGCATGCGCGCAATGCCTGCATGCTTCCGTTGAACAGCGGCGATCAATTTCCGTGAACGGGATGTCGCTTCGGCTAACGCATAACGCATGGTTCATTGGGAGGTTCGTAAGGGTGGGTCTACGCCGCGGTGCATCCATGATAGCGCGAGCGGGAATTGTATTATTAAATCGCCTACTACGAGTGCAATAATTGCGCGCGAGTATACCTCGCATACCAATCGTTTTGTGCATGCAATGACGTAATGCGGGAATAGAAAGTATGATTTCATGAAGTCTCTCATGCAGTTGCTATGCACTGCTTGCATCCCTTTAGGCTTAATATCGCTAGCAATTTAGGTCACGCTTATATTTTACCGGATGTCCATATACAATAACAACATATGAGTTCATATTGTAATTTCGCGTGTTCGCATGTTCACAAGTGCGAAAGGTAATCGGAAAATTCCGGAGAACATCTCAAACTTAAGTCATCGTAGTTTCTTTTGGACGTGCAGTTAAGCACGCACGCGCGCACATCTCTGCGTCGGCAAGGCGAACAAGCAAGCAAACAAAGAACCGAGCGTGAAACAGCAACGAGAAAAGATAATGCGGTGAAAACTACGCATCTTTGAGAGCGAAGTGGTCCCTGCATGGCGACGCCATGCCGCATCGCTTCGTGCGGCCATCCCAGGGTTTGCTGGAGCCGTGTGAACACTCCTCAGTTCACACGCTACTCTGAGTCTGTCCGTTTCTCGCCATTTTTTAAAACCGGTTCGCCGTGCGATGGTACCAATTATGACACAGCGCCCCAAACTAACCCTCACACTAAACTATGTAGCAAAGGTGTTTACCAGATTTTTCGGGAGGAAGGACAAGGCACGTGCATGACGTTACGCGAAGGTCGTGACGTCACGTCGAGGACACACGCGACTGCCGAGTGGCTATCTCTCCGCGAGTGTTGTCTCCGGTCGTTGATAGTTTATTGCCGTATAGACGTGTTTACGGCAACCGTCGGCGTACGGTGCACCGGAACAAAAGATAGCCGTGTTTTGGATCCGTGGTACAGACGGCCCTCCATTTCTCGCTCGCACTCCTCCTTCTCCCCACCGCCCCCTCTCCCTCTGTAGTAGATGTAGTAGATGATCTTTATTTTAATCGGTGCATTTAAAACAGTGAACATGAACTGGAAAGGCGGGTACTGGAGTAGGGCGTAGGCTGCGGTGGTTTCTGGAGATTTTACGCATTTGCGGTACGGAAAAAATAGTAGACTGGTACTCGCTCCCACCTCGATTACTCCTAAGCCGAGAGGTGGGACCGGGTACCAGTCTAAAAAATAGACGCTGCCCGGCCATCATCGTTACTAACTTGCCTACGTTTTGGAATAACGTTCCACGCGACGTCAGTGTAATGCGAGTGGAACTGTCGAGCGCGGACCCGTCTAATACATAGATAACGGTTGCCTCGGAACGTCTAGCGTTTTCATCTATATTTCTTTTCAATAACATCGTACTTCAATTCACAGGTGCCTTTCTGTTTATAGAAACATTTATAAATACGCAGTGGCTACGCGTCCGGAACCGGTCGCCTAGCCTCCAGGCTACGCACCCGGAACCGGTCGCCTAGCCTCCAGGCTACGCGTCCGGAACCGGTCGCCTAGCCTCCAGGCTACGCATCCGGACATCCACTCACACAGTGATCGCGCGACTCGCATACACGCATGATTGCGCAACGGGACAATCTTTCCCTCTCTTTCTCGCTCGCTCTCTCTCTCTCTCTCTCTCTCTCTCTCTCTCTCTACACACAACACCTCTAGCTCTCTAGCTTTCTCTTTTTCTCTCTCTCGCACACACACACACACCTCTACTTCTATATATCTCCCTCTCTCTCGCTACATCTCTCTCTCTCTCTCTCTCTCTCACAGCACAACAACACTCGGCAGATCAGCGAGCGTCCTGTCATTGCGCAATCATGGCCAGGGGTAGAAATTAACTTTTGAACACAACGAGCTCGCTCCTCAAAAGAGGGGTCGAGTCCGCGAGTATGAGGGCTTAAAATCTCAAAATTTAACATAACGTCATGTGCTTATTTTAATGATCATGCAGTTGACTGTCTGCCAAATTTTCTTGAACATAATCTGAACAAAATACAGTGAAGTCTGCGGGCCGTGGCTCCGACGAACTAGTTAGTCCACTCGCGCCCACAGAATTTTCAGGCAGTCACACGGACTCCTGCATATGTCAATCAGAGATCGACAGTAAATCAGGAAGGATTTGACTCCGCGACGTTGGCCCGTTATCGCACCCTGATATAGATATACGCACAACACGGCATACATATTAATGTTACCAGCTGTCAGTCAAGGTGGCTTTCAGCCAGTGTGTATAGTATACTCATAGTACTCGCTGTACCGAAGTTAGCGCATGGGCAGAGGTGACAGTGCTCGGAGGGCAATATCGTATTTCCTTCTAGAATCTGCTGGAGATGGGACAGGCACCGGCAGGCATCGTAGTGTGTGCACATACATGTGTGTTTTGCTCAACGCTGAATCTAAACAGATTTGCACTTGTTTCGCTTTCGGATGTTGAGTTAACATAATATAAAGTACTACACTATATGGCTGGGCTCGTTAGCCGATATGCCGTCTAAATAACGAGTCGATTTCTGCAAAAGAAGGTCGCAGTTGTGATGAGAATAAAGCAATATCTTGTAAACATTATAGATTGAACCCTAAAATTTGTGTGAACTAAAACCTAAAAAGGTGTTTGTTCTGTATAGTGGGGCTGTAGAGTCTCTATCGTGTAAAAACTATAGGGTAAGTGACACTAGGGCGATCTTAAAACTGGCCGGATTTTTTTTAATTGGGAATGAGGAATACTCTATCGGGATGAGGACAGCCGCCCATCGAAAACAACATGTTTTTAGCAAATGTAAGCTATAGCTGTTCAAGACATAAGATATACATTTTTAAACCTTGAAGAAGATGAAAAATATATTATGATCAGTATAGATATATACTTATATATATATATATATATATATATATAATTCAGGTGTAGAACATAAGGAGAAAAGCAAGAGATGGTCCACTGACGACCATCTAGTTTGAAATTTAGATGGTTCCTACCTAAATTTCAAATTGTTCTCTAAAAGTAATGCGGCGTGCAAGGAATTTACCTGAAAATGGCCGACACAATATTGACATGGTTCCTGATTATTTTGATGGCCGGACCATCGCGGCATCTCTTATTTGACCCCTGTCTAAATATAAGCTTCGTCTACACGACCAACCTTACGACCCTTTGCTAATTAACGATTAGTGTAGCGTCTACACGACCACACCCCGATAAGGCGATAAACTACCGACTTTAATTATGCATGCGTGCCGTTGTCTCCCCCCTCCCTCCTCGTGGTTATGTCAATACGTGTCGTTCGCTCATGTCGCGTTGCGTCGCGTCGCGCTCCATCTGCCGCTTTTCTCTCCCCGCTCCACTTGCCACGCGTTGCCGTCCTGCTCGGCTCACGCTGCCGTTCCCCGCTGCTCGTTACAGTAGTTTTATTCGCCGCGTGCTGTGCACGCGGTCTACCCTCGTGCTCTATTTGATAGCCCAACCCCCCGCAAAAGCTCGGTGCCTTCGCCCCCGTTATACCGTGCGTTGCGCTGTGTGCGTCGTGACGTATACGTGCGCTGGGGCCCGACAACGTGTGTGCGTGTGCCGGTATACGTGCGTGCGTGTTTGCGTGGTGTGTATGATGCGTGTGATCGTTCGGGCTCATGCTGCCGAAAATATCAATATAATAATTAGCACTGCCTTGCCCGTCTATCCTTTTCATCCGGTCCTCTCCTCGCTCAATCGCCTCACACACACAGACAGCGCTCTCTCTCTCTCTCTCTCTCTCTCTCTCTCTCTCTCTCTCTCTCTCTCTCTCCTCACACACACGCACCGCACAGCTTGCTCTATTTCTAACACCACACACACACACACACACCACCACACACACAGCACCACAGCCACCACACACACACACGCACGCACACGCATATCAGCTCTCGCTATTTCGCTCACCACACACACACACACACACACACACAACACACACACACACACACACCACACACCACACCCACACACACACCTCACACCTCTCAGCCTCTCCCATCTCTCTCTCACGCATACACACACACCTACACATTCCCCCTTCTCTCTCACACACACCACAGCACACACAACACACACACACACACACCACACACACGCCAGCTGCGCGGCGCCGCTGCGGCAAACACCACACACTCCGGTAATCAGCAGAGCGTAGATATGGTATAAATGAATAATTGTTGCCTAATTTGGGATATTGCTGCAACTGTGTGTGTTTATGCAGAAAGTAAAACGCAACGGTACCAGTGACTATTTTTCGCGTACTTCTCATGCGCGCGAGCAATGTTAATCCCCTTG